CCCCCCCCCCCCCCCGCCGCCCCAGGCCCATGCAGCCCAGCCCCCTCCAGCCTCTGCAGACACCTCCCCCCCACCTTCCCTTCCAAGCACCTGCCTCCACCCCAAGCCCTGCTAGCTGCATCTTCCAGATGACTTCCTTCCCCTCTTAGCACTAGCCCCCATCCTGGGACAAAGTGGGGCTGGGGTGGGGGCATCCTCCTTGATCCTTGACACCCCCCCCCCCCCCCCCCCCCCCCCCCCCCGGTCAGCACAAGCAGGTACACAATAGTGCCCAATCCAGTTGAGCAGGGAGATAACTGGAAAGAATGGAGCCCAGGGCGGCCCTGAGTCTGCAGCCCAGGGGTCTGGATTCCCGGGAAAAGCATGTGATTAGAGCAAGCACCAAGCATTGTGGAAAAGTAGATTTTTAACAGTTGACTTTTCCTGGAAGGAAGTATTACATATTGTAAAGCTGTTTTCTCCATATTTAAGGAGTCAGTTACTGTAATTCTAATGGAAATATGGACAGTTTCCCTTGAAGCTAAATGAATATGTTTTCTTTCTTTCTTTCTTTCTTTTTAAGATTTTATTTATTTGACAGAGAGAGACACAGCAAAAGAGGAAACCCAAGCAGGGGAGTGGGAGAGGGAGAAGCAGGCCTCCCACGGAGCAGGGAGCCCAACGCGGGGCTCGATCCCAGGACCCCGGGCCCATGACCCGAGCCGAAGGCAGACGCCCAACGACTGAGCCCCTCAGGCGCCCCTAAATGAGTGTGTTTTCAAGGGGGAAGAGGACTTACATAGCCAGACCCAGCCTTTCGAGATGCAAGCACATCACTAATGAGATGCCAGAGCAGAAGGGACCACCCTCCATCAGCAGTGCCAGCCGCACACTTTTTAATTCCCAAAATGCATCCCAGAGTTAAATGACTTAAAATCAAACCTAAAAATATACAGAATTGGAACTGAGGATTTACAAATGACTAGAAAGCTAACCTGAGATGTTATCACAAATTTCTAAGATAATTCTTTTTTAACTTCACAATCCAACTGGAAAGATTTTCTTAAGCAAGATGACAAAGGTCACCTATGAATAACTCATCCAGGTTGATCAGGACAGGGACACTCAGCTGGAGCAGCACCAGAGAACACAGGTGTCAGGCCGCGCTGGCAACTCAGCACCTGCCTTGGGAAGCCTGAGCCAGCCCGGAGGGCGAGGCCGGGGCGCTGGGACTCGTGGAAGGCGGAGTGTTGGTGTGTCCGTCCCAGGGGTGGTTCGAGTAGTCAGCCTCCCCAGTGTCCCTGCCACGTGTGTGGACGCTCAGGGTGCAGAACGCCCACTGGAGCAAAGGGGGCTCCAGACTTCGGCTAGTTATGGCCAACACCTCCTTTTTTTTAAAAATGTTTTATTGTTATGTTAATCACAATACATTACATCATTAGTTCTTGATGCGGTGTTCCATGATTCATTGTTTGTGCATAACACCCAGTGCTCCACGCAGAACGTGCCCTCTTTAATACCCATCACCAGGCTAACCCATCCCCCCACCCCCTCCCTTCTAGAACCCTCAGTTTGATTCCCAGAGTCCACAGTCTCTCATGGTTCGTCTCCTCCTCCGATTTCCCCCCCTTCATTCTTCCCCTCCTGCTATCTTCTTCTTTTTCTTTTTTCTTAAAATATGTTGCGTTATTTGTTTCAGAAGTACAGAGCTGTGATTCAACAGTCTTGCACAATTCACAGTGCTCACCGTAGCACATACCCTCCCCAATGTCTATCACCCAGCCACCCCATCCCTCCCACCCCCCCCCACCACTCCAGCAACCCTCAGTTTGTTTCCTGAGATTAAGAATTCCTCATATTAGTGAGGTCATATGATACATGTCTTTCTCTGATTGACTTATTTCACTCAGCATAACACCCTCCAGTTCCATCCACGTCATTGCAAATGGCAAGAGCTCATTCCTTTTGATGGCTGCATAATATTCCATTGTGTATATATACCACTTCTTCTTTATCCATTCATCTGTCGATGGGCATCTTTGGCCAACACCTCCTTATGGCTAAGAAATTTAAATGGTGCATAGGGTTTTCTGTGAGAAGTTAGTCCCCCCTCCCCCTTCCCTCCCTACCACTCCCCCACCCGCCTCCAGTTCCATCTCTGTCCCCCAGACCACAACTGTCCAGTCCCCTGCTCCTCTCCAGGCGTGCCCTGCTCTCTGTGGCCACAGAAGCAAATATTTTAAAATGTGTGTGCCTCCCCTTTTCCTTTTAGTTGTATGTACCAGGAGGCAGCTTGCGTTTTAAATCCCCACCTGCTCTCTTTATATCGGTGTGGCCAAACAGAGCTAACACCTTCCAGTAGTTCAGTGATCCACTGCGTGAGTATGTGCTTTAACCGCTTTGTATCCGTGGACGTTTAAATGGCCTGTGGTCTTAGCTCCTAAGTGCTGCAGGGTATGTGCAAGGCTGTGGGAGTCTGTTGTCAGAATATCTCGAACTAGAATCACTGGGTCAAAGGTATGAGTGAGTGGTTTGAGTTCTGCGAGCTATTTCCAAATCGCCCTCAAAAAGTTGGCCCAATTTGTGTTCATGGTTGCAGGGTGTAAGAGTGTCTTTCCTAACTCCCATACTGGTGGATTTTTTTTTTTTAAGATTTTATTTATTTGAGAGAGAGATAAAGAATCTCAGGCAGACTGCACTGAGCGCAGAGCCCGATGCGGGACTCAACCCTGAGATCATGACCTGAGCCAAAACCAAGAGTCAGCGGCTTAACCGACTGCACCACCCAGGCGCTCCCAGTACTGCTGGATTTTTATCAAGCGTTTTCTTTTTTTGCCAATGTGATGATGAAAAACATATTTCATTATTGGTTTTAATTTGCTGTTCTTAGACTATGGGTGAGGCTGGCCATCTTGCAAGTGCTTTGCATGTCGTTAGGTTTTGCCCCGTTTTTAAAGGTGACCGCGAAAGCTCGCAGAGTAAGAAAATGCATGTTTGTTGTGCTTTGTAAAAATCAGAACACAGAAGGACAGAAAAGTGTGCTGTAGGAGGGGACTCTGCCCCTGCTCAGGAAGCAGGCCGTGCGGGGGCGGGGGGCGGGCGGCAGATCTGTGTTTACAAATGAGTGTTACCTGAATGGGGTGAGCTGTCTCTGCTTCACCCCCTCCAGGAGTAAACCAATCTGCAGGACCACTGCTGTCCCATTTTCAAGGGAGGAAACTGAGGCGCAGGACACTGAGTGCCCACCCAAGGCCGGGTAGCCTCTAGCCAGAGGGCCCAAGGGCCAGTCCTCCCTGCACCGCACTCCTGGAGTTCCGCAGGGGGCAGGCCTGGCCTGAACGGGACGTGCGGCTGGGGGAGGGGCCAAGGCTGTCCCAGAGGTCACACGGATAATGGCCCGGAGCACCTGAGGAATGTGGCTGTGGGGTCACACTCCTCCAGAGACGGAGGCGGGCTCTGCCCCGAAGGCCCCACCCACTCAAGGCCCATCCTGCTCTGAGCGGCTCAGTGGCACCTTGGGTGCTGGTGGATGGAGCTCCCCTGGTGTCTCCCATGGGGTCTGAAAAGGTCCCACGGTGCACCCACTGCTCCCCAGAGAGAGGACCAGACTCTCACCCTCCTTCCCTTGCTGCCCCCAAGGGGATCCCCCAAGGGGATCAAAATGAGGAGGGATAAAGGGTTCCAACTTTTAAAGGGTACAATGTGGGTGGGTTTTTTTTTTCTTTAAATTAATGTTCTTTTGAAAATTACATTAGTGTTTCCCGAAATTAAATGTTTTTCTCTTCAAAAAGGGGTGCATAAAATGTTAAAAGGGTATGCATGATGCTGTTAACTGGCTACTAATCCAAAATTAATTTTAAATCCTGTGTAGTAAGAATATTTCCATACAGATCTCTCTACAGAGATGACACCTAAATCAGATAACCACATTGCCAGGCTGTTCTTAATCAATGATCCAGATAAAAACAAAACCAGCTACCTCGTGTTCATGGCCCAAACGTTTCTGGAGCCTCTGCCAGCGCCACAGAGAACTGGCGTGCGCCTCTCTGCGGTGGGTCCCTTTCTCCGCAGCTCTTGGAGCTCGGAGGCCGGGGCTCTGCGTTCCGATGAAGAGACCTGGGCCCAGAGATGCTAGGTTGCTCCCCTAAGGTCTCACAGCTCCCAGTCAGCAGATTAGGATCAGAGTCCAAGCCATTGCACTCCAGACCTTGAGCCCACTGGCTGAGAAGAGTCCCAGACACAGTGCCCATGGGCACCAGGCCCCAGATGGCAGCGTGAAGACCTCCAGGGGCTGTGCTAACCACCAGGCAGTACTCTGTGTGGGGATGCTGATGGCCTGACAGGCTGGCTCTTTCTAGCAGATGATGCCATCCTACGGTTGCTCCTCAATGGCAGATGGTCCAACGAGCCAGATCTTCCCATTTTTCAAGAGAAGCTGGAAATCTTGTTTTTTATATAGAATGTTTTCATTTTAGAATATTGGCAAATAATTAAAAAATCAAAACAAAATGTGGGCCAAATTACAGCTCAGTTTGTGAGCTACACACTTCTGTGAGCCAGACTCAGCCATGCCTAGTGATGTGTGGCCCTTCAGCTAGGAACTGTGTCCATGATTTTACGTGGTTGAGAAAAAGACAGAGAAAATGCTACAGTGACCTGGATCGGCTAGCCAGGTGGGCTCCAGAGAGAAGTCCAGCCTCTGGCAAAGCTCCTCCCCAGACTGGGAATCTGGTGACTGCTGGTAAAACTGGGCTTCTCTTTACTGGAGAGTCACCGTATGTTCCTGCGTGTTATTGCAGGGCAAACACACCAGACCCTCCTGGGCTTGCCCTTGCGTCCGTCCTGCAGTGTGTCACCTGCCTCTGAGTGGGGCTGAGTGGGACCCCAGGACACGCTGCCCTGTCTGTCCCCCTCTTGGTGTCTCGTGCTCTTGAGTGGAGGCTGTCCCGTGCCTTCCCTGGAAGGGTGCATGGACTCAGGAGCAGTGTTTTGGACCTTCCTCTGAAATCAGATTGGTTCAGGTGTGGCTCTGCCAGCCCAGCCCCGGTCTGAAGTCATAAAAACATACTGGGAACATGGGACCTTAGTTACCTCGTCTGTATGCTCCCAAGACCAAGAATAATTGCGTGGAGCGCTGGGTGTTATGCACAAACAATGAATCATGGAAGAGTACATCAAAAACCAATGATGTAATGTAAGGTGATTAACATAACATAATAACAAAATAAGTAAATAAATAAAAGAAGAAGAATGTTACCACCTGGCTTCCCCACAGTTGCTTTTGTGTTTCTTGTGAAACCCAGGGTTTGAGCACCGGAGGACAGGCTGATGGCCCGGCACTGTGTTTGAGCGACGGCTACCTGTGATATGGATTTGGGATAAGGAAGAAAAGGTTAGAATCACACAGCAGAGGCGACCTCAAAGAAAGTCTTGTGATTCCATTGTAAACTCACGTGGAACGATACATTCTGTTCTTCCCATGTGGTCCTCACACCTGTGCACTAACCAGGGAGCTCCCCTTGGGTCTGAGAACCTTACTAGAATGTGAGCATCAGTGAGACAGACAGGCCTCGGAGAGCCTTGTGAGACCCGGCTCAGAGACCAGCAGCCTAAGCCACAGGGAAGGAGGCCAGCTAGAGCCAGGGAGGGCTGTCCTCTGCACCAGAAACTTGTCGTGTTGCAATCCCCAGGCAGGGCTCATTGGCTGGGCTCTGGGAACCCAAGCTACCAGCAGGGTGGAGTGCCTCCCACGGGAGGGCTCAGCACTCGTTCTCACTGGCCACTGCCACAGAGAGGCCTCGCGAGGCACTTGGGGGCGGGAATTGTCCATGAGAGCCAGGAAGCTCCTTCAGCACCGTGCTGTTAGGGTGCAGGACGCCAGGCGGCAGGGGGTCTTGCCCTCTTCTTGCTCAGCCCCTCTGCCCTCTTGGTTTAGCCCGCCACCACTCTCAGACGGGACTGAACGCGAGTGCCTAGCACACCCGTGAAATTGTTGTGGGTCGGTGTGTGCTGCCTCTCAGCACCGTTGTAATCACAGCTAAAGAAATCCCAGAACCAGTGTTCTGTCAGAGGAGGGAGCCATGCTGTGTCCTGAACTGGGTGAGCAACACCAGCTTCCTGCCTGTGCTAATCATTACAGCCGACACTCTCTAAGAAGTGCAGAGTGTCCTGTAACCTTTTTGAAAAGCGGTGGTGAAGTAGGTCTCTGTTAGCTCTCCTCTTGAAGGCACGGTGATGAAACAGTTACGCCACTTTGGGGAAAAGTGTATATAGAAGGAACTTCCACACCAAAGTAAATACTTGAAGAAATAGCCAAACCGGCTTACTCTTCAGTGGTATGTATTCTGGGGCCACAGCATGGCTCGTGCTCACTTCCGCTTCTGGCGAGGCTGTTTTATGGACTAGACTTTCATGTCCCTCCGTAAACCACTAGAAAGTCGGACAGAATATATGAAGCCACTGGTCGATAGCACAGGACCGTGGTCCTTGAAAAAGGAAACAAATGAGGTGAGTCCCAGGACCCCCCCAGCTTTCTGCCTGGAGGCAGTTTCTGGGCTGCAGGCATAGGGAGGGGGAGGCCGGACAGAACTCAGCAGCCTTACAGAGGTGGGAAAATGGGAACTGGAGTTTGGGGAGGCAGAAGGGGCTGGCAGTTGCAGGACAGAGTCCAGAAAGGAGAGCACACAGAAGAGAGCTCCAGGAACCCGCGGGGGCGTTTTTTGAGTCCTCGCTGCGCACTAGCCCATAGACGTACAGCCCGAAGCTCCACAGCCCCAGGCAGAGGAAAGGTGGGCAGCTTGTAAGCTGAACCATTTCCAGAGCCTCCAGAGAGCAGGGAGGTACTCAGTCAGAGCGATGGGTCCCCATCATCGCCTCCCTCCCAGAGAAGTCACACCTCAGCAGTAGAGCTAGGTATCTCCGGAGAGAAGCTCCACATAGACTTACACGAGAAAAGTTTAAAAACAGGGGCGCCTGGGTGGCTCAGGCGTTAAGCGTCTGCCTTCGGCTCAGGTCATGGTCCCAGGGTCCTGGGATCGAGCCCCGCGTCGGGCTCCCTGCTCGGCGGGGAGCCTGCTTCTCCCTCTCCCACTCCCCCTGCTTGTGTTCCCTCTCTCGCTGGGTCTCTCTCTGTCAGATAAATAAAATCTTTAAAAATAAATAAATAAACATAAAAGAAAGTTTTAAAACAGTCTTTGAAATGACGAGTCAAGGAAACTAACTGCCTACCAAAATAAAACCCAACACTCTAAAAAATTTTTTTTCAAGAAAATATTACAACGCCCAATCAAAAATTACAAGACGTGAAGAAGCAGGAAAATGTGATCCATATGCAAGAGGAAAATCAGTCAGTAGAGGCCTAGACATAACAGAAATGAGGGAACAGGCAGACAAAGACATTAAAAGAACTGGAATGACTATATTCAAGTATTTAAAGAAAAACATGTAAGTAGTGAGAAGAATTGAGAATATGAAAAGTACCAAACAAAACTTCTAGAGATGAAAACTATAATATTTGATAAGGAAAGCTCATTGGATGGGATTAACCCAAGAATAAAGATGGTAGAAGGAAAAAACGGAAAATTCAAAGACATAGCAACACAATCTGTCCTAAATGATGCACAAAGAGAGAAGCAAAGGGGAGAGAAAACAGCCTTGGCCTCCTGACAGACAGTGTCCATCAGTCTAACGGAAGGGGGAGAGAACAGGGGGGAGAAAAAGCATTTCAAGCGATTATGACTAGGGGTGCCTGGGTGGCTTGGTCAGTTAAGCGTCTGACTCTTGATTTCGACTCAGGTCACGATCTTGGTGTCATGAGATCAAGCCCCATGTCAGGCTCCATGCTGAGCGCAGGGTGTGCTAGAGATTCTCTCTCCCACTTGTGTACTTGCTCTGTCTAAAAAGAAAAAGAAAAAAGACCAGATTTCCCCCTAAATTTGATGCAGACTCTTAATTCACAGATCCAAGTTCAGCTACCCCAAGCAGCTGGCTAAATACATGTGTGCATGTGCAACCCAGGGAGTATTGTTACCAAGTTTCTTAAAACCGGTGACAAAGAAAATCTTAAAAGCAGTCAAAGGAAAAATAAAGGACACAGTACATAGAGATGAACAAAGAGAGAATTATGCCAGACTTTACTTCAGAAACTGCAAAAGCCAGAAAACAAAGTCTTATCAGATTTAAAGTACTGAAAGAAAAGCCGTCAAAATGGAATTCTATGTCTAGTAAAAATATCCTCCAAAAATTAAGGCAAAATAAAAGCTTTTACAGACAGACAAATGTGATAGAATTCACCTTACCAACCAACGCGCACTACCCAAAATATTAGAGGACACTCTTCAGGCTGAAGGAAAATGATGCCAGATGGAAACGTGGGTCAGCGGAGAATAATGCAGACAGGCAGACGGGCAGGTCTGCAGGTAGAGGACAGGCTTACTTTTTTCCTTAAATGTTAACCGACTATTTAAAATGCACATATTAACGGTGTATTATGGGGCCTGTGATATGCGTAGAAGTAAAAGGGGTGACAAAAATGGCATACGTGGTGGGAAGGGGAAAAGGAAGTATACGCTTGTGAGGCTCTCAAAGGTGTCATTGTGCAGTGCCACAGCCCAATGAGGTAAGTTAAAAGTGCACATTGTAAACCACAGAACAGCCATCAAAAAACAGTAACAAAGTATAACCAGTGGTGCATTGGTGTTGATCCAATGGAGTGAGAACCATCAACCCAAAAGTAGCCCCAGGAGGGAAAAGGGAACAAAGGACAGATCGGAAAGAGAAAACAATTAGCAATTTAGCAAGAGGGTACATTTAAAACCAATCATGTTGATAATTATATTAAATGTAATGGTCTAGGGGCATCTGGGTGGCTCAGTCGTTGAGTGTCTGCCTTCGGCTCAGGTCATGATCCCGGGGTCCTGGGATCGAGCCCCGCATCGGGCTCCCTGCTCGGCTGAAAGCCTGCTTCTCCCTCTCCCACTCCCCCTGCCTGTGTTCCCTCTCTCGCTGTGTCTCTCTCTGTCAAATAAATAAATAAAATCTTAAAAAAAAATGTAATGGTCTAAATATTGCATTAAAAAGCCGACTGGCAGCAGAAGGCTGGCCTCAACTGTGTGCTGTCTACAAGAAACCCACTTTTAAATACAGTAAAAACACAGATGAAGAAGGCTGGATGGCTATTTAATGTCAGGCAAAGTAGACTTCCCAACAGAGAATATGAACCTAAGATAAAGAGGTACATTTCATGATGCCGTACAAGTCAGTTAATCAGGAAGATGCAACCATCCCAAGTGTGTATGCTCCTAATACAAGAGCTGTAAACACTTGAAGTTTAAAACTTCTCAGGAAAAGGGGGCACCTGGGTGGTTCAGTCGGTTAAGCGTCTGCCTTCGGCTCAGGTCATGGTCCCAGGGTCCTGGGATCGAGCCCCGCATCGGGCTCCCTGCTCAGCGGGAAGCCGGCTTCTCCCTCTCCCACTCCCCCTGCTTGTGTTCCCTCTCTTGCTGTGTCTTTCTCTGTCAAATAAATAAGTAAAAAACCTTTTTTTAAAAAAAAGAAAAAATATCCAAAAAATTAAAAAAAAGAATACTCATGGGTCAAAGAAGAAATCACAAAGTAGCACTTGGAAACTTAAGCCTTCAAATACTTACACGAGAGAAGAACACTGTTCTAAAATCAGTCATCTACCTGATCCACCTTAAAAAGCTAGAAAAATAAGGGGCGCCTGGGTGGCTTAGTTGGTTTCAACTCGGGTCATGATCTCGAGGTGGTGAGATCGAGCCCCGTGTCAGGCTCCACACTGTGTGTGGAGCCTGCTCGAGATTCTCTCTCTCTCTCTCTCTCTCTCTCTCTCCCTCTCCCTCTCCCCCTGCCCCTCCCCCATCTCTAAAGTTAAAAAAAAAAGGCTAGAAAAGTAAGAACAAACTAAATTCAAAGTTCATAGAAGGAGAAAATAGTAAAGATGAAAGTGGGGAACAATGAAATAGCAAAGAAAAATCCTACAGGACACAAACCTGATTCTTTGAAAAATACCAACAAAACTGGCAAACATCTGCACTATCGACCCAAATAAA